GGGGTTGAACCTCCAATTCGTGGTCATGACCCACGCGTACTGCCATTATACTATCCGGACTTAGGAGGTCAAAGAAAGGGGACTCGTATAGCGAAGGCTACTTCGCTTGTAATTGAGAAAGCGACTTATGGGCGTTGCCTAGCACTTTAAAGCCAAAGGCTATTCCACTAGGGGGACTAGGTATAATGAAGAGAGCGGGGAAATTAAAGGGTGTATACGACCACCATTATTATAGCCCGACACGTGGCGCATCGAAGCAGGAATATGTGCTTCCACGAGATGGTGTACCTTAGGTACTTCTCTTTTAGGTATGCGAATAACATACTGCCCCTTAGCTCTAACGCCACCATAGTGGGATGACTCAATGAGAAAATCACTTAAAAGAATAGAACGTAGTTGCTTCATCTAAGGGGTGACTCTCTCTTTCTTGAGAATCTTGCCATTTTTCTACGTTTATTAGCCTTTCTACGAAATTCTCTTCTGTAAGAGTAGGCTCCTTCTTTTGTTCCTTCGTATCAAGTTTTCTTGGACTGTTTCTTAGAGGCTTTGGATAGTCTCACTAGCTTTCTTTCGTCACTTTGTGACATTGGATTCTGCCTCCTGGAATGCGTTCTTCTTGTCGTTGAATAACGAGTATAGCTTGTTCTAATTCCTCTGACTTTGTTTGCATAACTCTCTGGGTTTCTTCGTGTCTTTTCTGCTCTTCATTGATGTCCCCCCATTCTTGCATGTCGAGGAGATATCCGTCAATTCCTTCGATGAATCCTTTGACACTATGGCCGTTAATTTCCTTAGTGAATTCCTCGATTTCAGTGTTCTTGCTTGGCTACTTAGTTGCCTAGAACTTTTGGAGTATACCTCATGGTATACTCCTTTCTTCGAAATTCGGGCTATTCTCTAAAGGCTTCCTTGGAAGAAACCTCCTTTTATTGTCTAAAACAAGTATGCCTTTTCCCTAGGCCTTCGCTATTTTCTATACTATATAGTCCTTGATATTGCACTCTGTGCTTTTTTACCTACTCTTTTCCTGAGAAGTTTCTCTTTTAAGGCAAGAGTTAATGTTGCCACAGTCCCGTGGCTGGCTCTAAATCTTCGCTTGCTAGGTTAAGCTTCCATTCTTTCCTTCCTCTAATCTCCCCAGCCTTCAGCTCTAGTTAAACTTAGAATCTCTGTCTGATTCAAGTTATCTTAAAGGATACCCCTCGATTCCTTTCTTAAAAAGGAATTCCCCATGGCCCCCTTTGTAGTAAACTCCTGTTGCCATTAGACGCTTTCCCGTCAATAATCGTATCTTGGCATCAAGTTCTTGCTTTTCTCTGGTGGACCTAGGGTTCGTGCTTAGGATTGAAGGTAATTCCTGGGTGACTCTCGAGAGAGCGATGGTTCTCTGTAGTCTACGGTTAGAAACTAAAGTACCAGGGGCCTACGGCCCGGGGGCTTCAGATAACCCCCGGCCTTTAGGCCCAGCCTTAACAGAACTGTTTGGTTCAGCTGAGATGAAATCTCAGCAAGCGTTGGACTGGGGTTTGATTTTGGCAATCCGTTATCCCATTAAGTACTCCTAGCGGTTTACTTGGACGGAAATGAAAGAAAGCGTGGTTGGGCTTTCTGGCTTCCCTTGTAGGAGTTGTCTTCCTTTGTCTGACTGGATTTTGGTTGACAGGCTTGATATATGGTCAAGATGGTACTCCCCTAGGGAGTACGTCGGGGGGGGGGGGCAAGTTCCCTGGGCTTTCTGCAACAATTCAGATCCTCTTCTGAATAGCGCTGATATGAACCGTGGTTGGGAACTTGCATCACGTTTGTGTCGAACTAAGTATTGTTCAATCTTACACACTCTTTCTTACAGATTACGTTGAAAAGCAAGACTAAGAGATGCAGGTAGCCTGTATAAGACATGTTATGAACCTTCTTTATGTATGGCTATATAGCTTTGTTACTTCCCCTATATTCTTGATCCTATATCTCCTTAGGTGTTGGGTAAGCGGGGTTCTTATGAATTGTCAGATGTTTATCATCGGGGTAAAGCGGGAGTTGGCAACTGGAGGGGGAACTCGGTTTCAATGGTGGCATAATTTCACCTCTTACCATTTAGGCTTACCCATGGAGAAAAGCTTAAGAGCTACTGCGCACAGTTATCCTGTATCTTTCATCTCATGGAGAAGTTTGTCTTTCTCTATATCCTATATGATAATGCAATTGGACTGGCCTAATTAGGGCTCAGCCAGAGCTAGCCTCC